GTTTGCATTGTGCTGTAAACATTTTCCTGGGTAAACGTGCTTTAAGGGTTCCACGAATGTCTACAAACCACTCAAATAAAAGTTGTCTGATGTCTGAGATGGTAAATTTTTGTCCTCCTCCTGCTTGACGATACCTTGATTTGCTTGGAGGAGCAGTTACAGCATCTTCATCTGCCTCAACTTGGTTTAGACATCTTTTCCCAAGTTTTAGGGCTTTTGTTAAGGTTGGATTATCATGCTTAATGTCTTTAAGGCCCGAATAAAACTCTCTTACAGCTCTTGCAAGGTATCCTTTGCGTGGCAATGTTTTAACGTGTTTCTTTCTTTTTTCACTAAAGTTGACTTTTTGAAAGTTTTCAGCAATCGATAAATCGTACTCTTTTTTGTAACTTTTACAAAGTTTACCTAAAGCATTTTTCCAAACTGTATTTATCTTGGTCAGTTCTTGAAAATTTCTGATCTGACGCCATGTTACAATATAAATATTTTCGTAAAAAATTTTAATTTATAAATCCAAACCAATATTTTTTACAAAGCATGCATAAAACTATTTATGCATGTTCAAGTCAAATGCGCATTCGATTTGTGGTCAAAAGCGCATTTTCTAACAGCTGTTAGGGTAGGGTTAGGCTGTTTTATCATAATTTCAATAGGATTTAATATGCTGATATAAGTTTTATACTTTGCAAAGTATAAAACTTATATTCAGCATATTAAATCCTATAATTAAAACCAAAGCTTTGTTGAGAAATATACTAAATATTCATTTTTAGCAAATCGAGCTTTAATAGGTCGACAATTTGTAAAACCTGTTTACACTGAAAGTTTTTGTTTTTATCTGTGACTAAAAATTATTTTCAAAATTTTAAGGCCGATTTTCACTGAATTTTTTTTTTTACTTTTGAGATATATAATTTTTTTGTTGATAACAAGTAAAAATTAATAAACAGGGGGGGTCTTAATAAGCTTAAGGTAAGTGGGAAAAATATCCAAAAATTAATAAACGAGGAGGGGGGGGGGGGACGTTTATTAGGAACTCGAGAGTACAATCATGATTTGATTGTGGCAAATGAAGATACTTTTCTTTTCGACAAAGGTTTTTTTTTAATTGTGGTGATAAAATTTTTAAATCACTTATTGGTGTTTTATCAAATCTTTTACGACTTTGCGATATTGACCAAGCATAAGTTCTTGACGTAAAGGCTTAAATATTTGGAACAGTTTTTAGTTTTTTAACTACCCATTTTGCAACAAGTTTCATCATTGCAAATGCATATGAACAAGTTCCAGTTTTTCCTGCTGGGCATTCACAAAATGCATATGTAACTGATCCATCTAATTTTTTAATAGCAATAAAAATCCATCTGTCAACTTTTTCATGCTAGCTGCACATACTTCTTTTACAAAATAGTTCAATACTTTGTTTTGAGTGAATAGAAGACAGATCAATGTATTGTTCTTCAAGAAATATTTCTCCTCTAGACAAATGTTTTTTAACTTTTGTAAACTTAGGAAAAAAATTACTATTTACATTTAAGCATATGCATCAAATTTCTCAGCTGAAAATGCAGGAAGTCCCTCTAGACACTTGCTCCACCCATTTTTGGAATTCAAATTTAACAGCTAACATTTTAAATTTGTAGGCAATATAGGAAACATTTTTATATTTTGTATTTTTAGATATTTACCCATCAAACATGCCTTTTTTTCTCAAGAGTTGGATCACAAATAATTGAATCCATTCCGTTATGAAAATAGTTTAAAATTTAACTTGAGAGTCTTGTAACGTTACTACACCTTTAAGAGAATAGCCACGGTAAAGAAGCCACGGTAAAGAAGCCACCTTTTAAAATGATTATTTGTATACTTTTGTAATTTTTCTAAATTGACTTTGACAGTTGGATTGTCTATATCATCTTCTTTCAAAACAATTAAAGCTGGATCTAAACACACAAAAATACATTAAGTCAACTACACTACATAAGTTTACGAAATTTTGTAGATAAAAATAAGCTTCAGTTAAGGCAATATTTTGACAACATGTTTTATATATTTTACTTTGATATACAAGTAATAAAATAGTAAATAATAAACATTTAAAATAAAATAACAAACCTATTTCTGTGAAGAAATTTCATTTGTGTTTGATGATAATAACATTATCTTTTTGTTGTTTTAAAATAACAAATAAAGCTCAAGATTAAAAAAAACAGATAAGCTTAAGTAATGAGATATTTTGTTTGTTTACTAACGGTACAACCTAAGCCTCGATTTGAAACGCGAATGTTTATTTATGAAAAGGACTATAAAGTTCATAAATGCTCTATTGTATTCAAATCAAGGCTCTTTAAAAGCCATTCTAAAACCTTTATGCTATTTTCATTAAAAAAGGTTTTAGCTTTTTTAACAGTGTGTTTCAGATAATCTCTTGTTGAACTTTCAGATAAGCTCTTGTTGAACAGTACAGTTTTCAATATTCTCGTTCTACAGCTGACTTGCTAACTGCTGTAACTAAAAGATTATATTGTGTATTAAATAGAGGCAGCATGGCATAGACTATAACTCTAGATATATCAAATGCTTTTGATAAAGTTTGGCATGCTGGTTTTCTCTATAAGCTTGCTTTATATTGGGGCATACGTAAATGATTTACAACACCTATGTATGCCCTCATCGTATCTATTTGAGCACTTATCTTCAGAAAGATATCAATGTACTAGGACGCAACAAAAACCTCATGAGTTAAAGTCTTATACCTAAGAAATGAGGGGCACCAAACTATGCTTTATAACCTAAAGATGTAAACAAAGAAGTGGTGACATGATCCAAAAATGTAAAATAGGCAATAACATTGACATCGTCTCCTTGCATGCCCTACCTATTAGCATTCCTCCATTAAATGACCATCACACTTGTATACACCAGGAAAAAGATAACTATCTTGTCCGATAGAACATTTTTAACAACCACACAGAAACGCAGTGGAATGCCCTTCCTGACAAAGTTGCACACATCAGATCTGTTGACTGTTTTAAGAACTCCACAAAATAGTTTTTGTGATCAAAATAAAATGAAATATTTATTAATTTTTAGGAAATTTTTCCACCTACTCTAAGCTTATTGAATTCCCCCTGTTTATTAATTTTTACTTGTTATCAACAAAAATTTAGTGAAAATCGACCTTATCTACTACTATTGCTAACAAGAACTGTAATACAAAACAAAATGATCTAGTTAAACATGTGTTTGGCATAAACCACTGGACCAACAAGTGTGTTTGGCATAAACCGCTTGACATAAACCCTAGTGTTGTATCATTTTGTGAATTAAGTAAAAGATAACCATCAGTTTTGCATGTGCACCTATAGGTTATTGGTACAAACTCGAATCTAAAAAATTGGCTGGAAAAATTACATATATTTGAATTTTTTTATTCTAACTGTTGTGTACACTATCAAACCAATATTTTTAGTATCTATTTAGTACATTATCAAACCAAAATTTTTAGTCATTTCTTCTGATAACTTTCCTGGAAAATGTTTAGATGGAAAAAAACAGTTCCAACAAATCGCTTAATTAAATTATACAAGATGTCTAAATATACATGTGCTCTAGGTATAGACGTAGGATCAGCTGTTTTAAATTCTATGAAGAACAACAATTTTTAAATTAATTTTTTAATGAATTTGGAATGACATTTAGTAATAATGGGCAAAATTGTAGTTTACATAAGAACACCAAACAAGTCTTGGAAGCAGAAAAGCAATGTAACCATAAAACAAAATTGAGAAAAAAAAAATGTTAATAGAAACACAAAATAGTTTTTGTAATCAAAATAAAACATTAGTGTAATGTAAAAAAGTGAAGTATTTCAAACATTATTTGTTTCCTTTTTTTTAATTTTTTCATAAGTTTTTGGGCTGGTGGCGGATATCATTTAAAATCTAAATATCAAAATAATTTACCATTTAGTCCACTTATTTATTGTATTAGTATTTACAACATACACAAGAATAATGTTTACTTCTTCTCTCGTTAGGTATTTTTTAAAGATTTTGTGTCCTTAATTACCCCCAATTTTGCCTAAATTTACAAAAATGATAATATATTATTGAATTTTAGACCTAACTTAAATCATTTAGTCTACAATACAATGACACATATAATATATCACCAGCCAAAATTTCCATCAAAAATTATAAACGGTTGCTGATAAATCTTTGTCGCAATTTTTACCTCACTTTTTGACCTTAAATGATTAATAAATAATATTTAAGATTTTTTTCTAGCTTTCTCATTGTATATTATACAATTAGAGAAAAAAAAAACATTTGTAAAAGTTGAATACAAATTTTTTTTCTAGTTACTGTACTACCACCTTCAGTCACCAATAAAAACAAAAATTTACAGTGTAAACAGGCTTTAAAAATTGTCATAAAAAATATTAGTTTGCATTTACATATTATAAATTATCAATACAACCCCTTGTTTATTAGATTTGAGAACCCCCCCCTCCTTTAATAAAAACCACCCATTTATTAGATCTGGATTTAAATTCCCCTCCCCCCTTTCTTTATTCCCACCCTCCATTGTATCAAGGACTCGAGAGTATCTTTTGTTTTTCTTCCCCAAAAATGGGTAAAGTTACTAAATTATAAAGTTGTACAGAATAATTGTTTCTAAAATATTTATTACATTAATTTATATTACTATTTATAATATTTATAAGTATAACAAAATAAATTCTTATATTTATAAGTTTAACAAAATAAATTTAACTGAAGAAAATAAAACTCTTTAAAAATAAAATATTTTAAAATTTAAATAGGTTTTATTGTTGGGTAATGGAAAGCCGCATCTCTACAGTAACCTTATTTATAAAATAATTATCTTACTTTACACATTTAAAATAAAAATAAAACTAAACTAAAAACTTAAATTATAAACTTTTAAACTTAATTATTAAGTAAAAATTAAAAAAATAAAATAAAAAATCTAACATTTTATAGGTGAACTTAGCTTCTTATAAAAACGTTCTTTATCATTCATTGATAGTTCATTGATTACACTTTTCCATTTTTCATCAAATAATAACTCGTTAATACATGGAATAACTATAAAAAAAAAAAAAAATTAATCAAAAAACAAATAAAAATAAACTACTAAATATGTTGTTGAAAAAGTGCTAGAGGAGGTTAACCAACACTACCTATAACTAAAAAAATTGATTTGATAATATAAAAGCATTTACTTTAATATTCATACTTATTCATTACTGTATATGTATATACACTGCCAGCAAAAAAGTTTTCAGACAAGACATGATTTTGCTATAAAGTACTAAATAATTCTTGTAAATCAATTCACTATTTCCCTATTAATTTTTCTTTATTCATGCGCATAGCATTATTAATCAGCCTATGGATATTCATTATGATCATAATTATGAAATATCTGTTGTTGTTTAAAAGACTTCAAAAAACTCTTTTTTACTCGGCAATTATTTACGTTGAGTAAGTATTCTTTGATACTGCAGAGTAAGTATTCTTTGATACTGCAGAGTAAGTATTCTTTGATACTGAAGAGTTTATTTGGAATAGATTATGCCATTCATATCTATCTATTCCAACTGAATTAAAAAAGTATTTATGTTTTATATTAGTAAAGGGCAAGGAAAAGATGAAAAACTATATTAATCTGAGAAAATTTTTCTTAATCTTTTAAATTAAATTAAACGAAAATACTAAAGTCTGGGTAAAAACATACTATAACAATTGGGGAATTTAGAATAAATAAATAAATTATAAATTATAAGCAATGAGATCAACCTGTAATCAATACAAATTGTGCTATCAAATAAATAAAGCACAATATCATTGCGCTTTCTTATTTGATAGCACAATTTGCATTGATTACATGTTGATCTCATTGCTTACATATTGATTTCATTGATCACATATTGAACTCATTGATTTCATAATGATCTCATTGATTACATATAAGTTATTAGTAGATTTTTAAGAAATTTACAACTTTCAACTGTATAAAAATTAATCTGATCTAGATTTAAAAAATTAAAAAATATTTATCCACTTTTCTTTTCTTTTTTTTTTTAAACAAAAATAAAAAATTAAAAAATATTTATCCACTTTTCTTTTCTTTTTTTTTTTAAACAAAAATAAAAAATTAAAAAATATTTATCCACTTTTCTTTTCTTTTTTTTTTTAAACAAAAATAAAAAATTAAAAAATATTTATCCACTTTTCTTTTCTTTTTTTTTTTAAACAAAAATAAAAAATTAAAAAATATTTATCCACTTTTCTTTTCTTTTTTTTTTTAAACAAAAATAAAAAATTAAAAAATATTTATCCACTTTTCTTTTCTTTTTTTTTTTAAACAAAAATAAAAAATTAAAAAATATTTATCCACTTTTCTTTTCTTTTTTTTTTTAAACAAAAATAAAAAATTAAAAAATATTTATCCACTTTTCTTTTCTTTTGTTTTTTAAACAAAAATAAAAAATTAAAAAATATTTATCCACTTTTCTTTTCTTTTTTTTTTAAACAAAAATAAAAAATAAAAAAAATTGTTATCAAAGTTTGTTTGGGACATATTTATAATTTTAAACAGTTTTTTTTTCTCAAACTTTATATGTGAATAATTAGCAAAACATAATAAAACCATAATTTTGATCAATGGGTATAAAATACATAGAAATCAGCATGAGGATTGCCACTAATAAATAACTGGTGCTACATTTTTGTGCTATATCATCTGTTTCTTTGATAACTAATTTTTAGAGTATACGTTTAGGCAAAAGATTTTAACCGAATACACATTTACATCCTGCACTTTTACTTTTATTTAAACATACCCTTGATTCATATTCTTCATCATTTAATCATGTTTGAGGAACTACAGTTTCTTTCAAATGAAAAAAATTTACAGGATCGGATAAACTATTAAAAGCTACTGAAGTTATGTGATCTGAAAAATAAAAAAGAATTTTTTACGTATTATTCCTAATTTCAAGATTTTAAAGCTATGAGCATGGAAAGATTTTAATTTTAATGTCTGAAAATGATGTAGGTGGTAATAATTTTATTACCATTTACTTTTTATAACATCAAATTTCCAATTTCATAAAGAATGGGGAAGCTAGTCACTTAATATTATTTTCACTTTTTGAAAAGCTCTGGGTTCTATTTTTTTAGCCACTCTTTTTATGTTATTTTTAAAAAAATTTAAGTTTACTGGCATAATACACTATTTTTAATAACCTTTTTCTTACAGGATTTTCACCAAAAAAAAATACTACTTGCTTGCAGAAATTCTTTCAATTTTACAACACTCTAACTTTTTATTTCATCAATAAATGCTTTATTTTTCTCATCATCAGAAGAAAAATTGAACATAATTAAGGGTATTCTGTCTTAAAATGTTTTTTCACTATTTATCCCAAAATTTAAACTCATATTTATTTATGCTAATAAAGAAATGCTTAATTGAAATATATTTATAAAACAACTTTAATTTTTTCTCTTAACAACCAGAATATTATTTGACTTTTAACTATAACATTATCAGGGTGGCCAGACAATTTTTGACTTTTTCCTGACTTTTCCCTGACTAAAATGAAATTTCCCTTAATTACTAAAGTAAATTTAACAAATTTAGCAACAAAAAGACAACATATAAAACTTACACAACTTTACCCAAATATTAGAATTTCTCTTTAGAACTGTTTACTTTAAACTAATTAGCAATAAAATTAATTAGCATTAGCAATAAAAAATAAAATAAAACATGAAGTAAAAAATTTTAGTTTCCAAATTTTAGTTTATAAAATAAAATATGAAGTAAAATTTAATTTTAGTTTCCAAGCGAAAAAAAAAAAAATGTATATTTTGCTACTAGGTCCATCAAAATTCCCTGAATTTTCCATGACTTTTGCAAAATTTAACCATGCTTTTATTGTACGAGCTGTGTGGGCAGTCGCCAAATCTAGTTGAAATTGCCACCATTCATTTTAATCAATCAGCATGTCCACTAATGGAACCATGCAGTTCTCTAGCGTCTCTATATATGTATGTTGGTGGATTCAACCTGTATAAATGTTACACACTCCTACTCTGATAAAATTAAAGCATCCCAAAATACCAACACTGCCGCCGCCACTTTGCAATATCTGTACAACAAAGCAATTACTATACTTTTCCAATTAAAGTCTTTAAAAAAAACGAACTTTGTTTTGGCTATTTATTACTTTAAAGTTACTTTCATTGCTAAAAATTACTTGCTTCCACTTCTCCAAAGACCACCCAATTCTCTCCATACACCACCTAAATCTTGTGAGCCGATCTCTGGCTGTCAACATAGGTTTTCTAACAGCTGCATAGACACTAGCGATGTACCAATATCACTTTTTTGATCGATGCCGATGGAAGGGAAATAGCAGATACCGATGAATTAACTAATTATTAAACAGAGTTGGACCCAGTCTATCTGCTAAACTTGAGCCTCTTTCCCATCATCGTAAAGTTGTATCTCTTTCTCTTTTCTACAAATACTATCATGGTTGCTGCTCAAAAGAGCTTTCATCTGTAGTTCCATCAACCAAAACTCATTCTCACTTGACTCATTATTCATCAAAGTCTCATTTCTTTACTGTATCTGTCTCTTCATGTTCCAAAAACTTTTATTTGTCTAGCTTATTTCCCAGCACTTCAACCCTTTGGATCTTTGGATTGTCTTTAGTAGCAGATACAATTTGACAACATTCCAATTCCAGTTTCTTCTTTTTTATAAAATTTCAAACTGTTGATTTTAAAGTCTTGAAACTTTTTGCTGTTTGACTCTTTGAATATTCTTCTTGTCACAGTGTGAATATTAAAGATCACTTTTCTACAGAGAACTCTTGCTTTCAAGCTTTTTATCATGAGAAAATACCACCAATTTATATAATCTATTAAACTATTAGTGCAAGACTATTAAAATTTAAAAAACTCATAATAAAACTAACATAATCACTTGAAATAAAAAATACAGGAATAGTTAAATGTTAATTTAAAAAGTCACAAAAATGATAATTTAGAAAGTAAAAATTTTAGACCATGAAAATTTAAATTTTTTATTTTTTTATTTGATAGATTGCCTTCTAAAACTAAAAACCCTGAGTCGATGTAGAAGCACTCCTCGCATGTTCTACCTATTTGTCAGTCAATGTAGCAGTATTCCTCACATGTTTTAGTTGTTGATCAGTTGATGTAGCAGTACTCCTCGCATATTCTACCTTTTTTTCAGCCAATGTAGAAACACTTATTGCAAGTTCTACCTTCAGTAGATATAGCAGCACTCCTTGCATGTTTCAACTATTTTTTGATGTAGCAACACACATGAACATCAGACTTAATAATTGGATTATTTATTTTGAATGTTTGGATCAACACTATATCATGATCTGCATAACTTTTTACCCAAGCCAGGTTCTTTACGAAGTATTAGGCCAATTTAAACAGGCCATGATTCAATTAGAACATCGAGAAAGCTATCATTAATCTGATTAAGATTAGGTTAATTCTTTTAAACTGTGAGGCAGTCACTTCAATAAATGTGAGAAAAATGAGTTTCCTGACTCGCAGTGAAAAAAAGTAAGTTACTAACTTTTGGCTGATGTCATCATCTGTAGCTGTCACCCAGCCATCTGCAATGTTTGGTCATCATATTCATGTAATCTCTGGATAAGCTGAATATTATTTATCAGAGCATCTCTAGCAATACTTCACACTGGTGACACTTTTTTCAAGTTAAAATTTTAGAAGAATTTTGGATAATTTAGGAGATTTTAAAGGATTTATTAGGAGATTTTACAGAGAAACTTGGGAAAAAGAATAAAAAAATTAAATTTTTTTAGGAGAACTTTTTTTCTGAAATTTAAATATTATCAAAAAATTTTATCAAAAAATTTGAAAGTTTAAGTTGAATGTTAAAAAGAAAACTTCAAGTTCAAAAAACAAGTTTAAATTAGGATATTTTAGAAGTATTTTTGAAGCTCAAGTATATTTTAGGAGAATTGAAGTCATTTTAGGAGGTTTTTTAAATATATATATATATATATATATATATATATATATATATATATATATATATATATATATATATATATATATATATATATATATATATATATATATATATATATATATATATATATATATATATATATATATATATATATATATATACTATTATATCGTATATTGCAGAATATTAAAAACTGAGCGTATTCATTTTATTTTTCACTTTTTTAAATGGAAAACATTGTTTTTCAACAAAATACTTCAATTCTTTGGAACCTTAGTTTAAAGTCTTTAATTGAAGTGAATTCAAAAGCAGATGTTGTATATTCTGAATTTTGTCTCTGAGTAAATAATGCAAATAACCACTTTATTGATAAACAAACAAGTTAAAAAAAAAAATTAAATACTTTTTTTGATATATATATATATATATATATATATATATATATATATATATATATATATATATATATATATATATATATATATTCTGTTGCATATTCAGAGAAATCTCTACCTATTGAGGATTGGAGGTTTGATTGGAGGCTGCTTGAGGTTCATGGGGAGAAAAGACTGCCAAAGTATGTTTTCAGAGACTTTACATTAAACAAAATATTACGTCTAAAATATATGTATATAATTAAAATTATAAAAGAACTTTTCAATTTGTTTCAAGATTGAATGGAGGATAATGACTAGAACTTCTTCAACAATTAAAATAAAGAAGTTCTTTAATAAACCAATAAAACCAAAGAAGTTCCAAAAACAACAAACTCAAATATGTCATCCAAATAAAATAGTAAATGTTTTTTTAACTACTGCACAAACACATTTACACTGTTCATCTTTATCTGCAGTTGAGAATCTGATCTTTTATTGGCAAATATTGGCATCAAGTCTAGGAAGTTTGCAAGCAGAGCAAGTTGGGTTTGATATAATAAAGAAAAAAAGAAGACTAATGAAATTGCTGAAGAGGGAAAAATTAACTTTGTCTAGTGGTAGTGCATTTGGTTGCATAAACAAGAAGTTCTGAGTTTAATTTCCACAACATACCTTGTTTGTCAATGTTCCTGTTTCAGAGTTAAAGAGTTGGAGTTAAACCATTGACAATTGCGTTTGGATGTTCTGATAAAAAATCAAAGAAAAAGTACTTATATACTGTTGAGTACATAAAACAATTCTATCTATTCAGGTGATTAAGGAAGTTCAAATAGTATAAGAATTTTCCCTGAATAAAACAAGGCTGCTGATATCTACTCATCGGAAAGGTATGGGAAGTAAGGCAGCAGTAGAAAACAACATCTTTGGAAAAAAAAGTGACCTGGAAGAGTTTATATCACATTTTTATTAAGTAGAAAAGGTAGCAGTTATATATCTTTTAGTATCAAAAATTAAGTTAAGTTTTTCTAAAATTTATTGTTATTTTCCAGGTCATCTTTTGTTAAAGACATCTAATTTCATTCAGGATTACTGATAGGAATAGAAACTACACTGGTATGTTTATTGATAGAATTTTGTTCAGGATTTGATAAATTTTTTAATAGCGATGTTCTACAGAGAGGGTATGAAGGTAGAGGTTGAGACAGGAATTATTCAAACCAGATACTTAAGTGTGTTGATGATTTAGAAAGGGTTGCTTTATCTAAGTTTCCTGACCTTGTACCAAGTGTTCAATGTTTTAAAGACATTAACGTGGTAAAAGATTCTTGTTTTGGTAGATTACTTGAATTCAGATATTAACAGGCCATGCTAAAATTTAAGAATTCTTTTAAACCTGCTCAAAAAATTGCAAATATTCTTGGTAAAGAACATTTAATAAATTGGAAAGTACATATACTCTTGTGTCTTGAGCAGGGGAAGGATTAGTAGTTTTGTGTCGAGTTGCAACAAAATCGCTAATTATTCCCCTGCACTAATATATGAATAACCCTTAACCAGCATAAAATATAAAAAAATTTTCTTTGAAAATTACAAAAATTTAAATACTATTAAATGAATTTTTAGAAACTTAACAGAGAACTTTAATACTAACAATGCTACAAATTTTTCGCAAAAGTTATTTTTTACTAAAAAAAACAACAAAAAACTAAAATCTTACTTACAATGTTTACTAAAAAAAAAATTTTTAAATCTGAATTTATTTTTTTAAATTTTCTTTAAGTAAACCTGGTACTAAAAAGATTAAAAAAATCCAACATCATAATCATGGTTTAATAAAAATATTATAGAATTGAGTTTCTTAATTTAATATAACAAACAAAAATCAAAATTACCTGAGCAACTTCCTTTATTCAAACTCTCCTAAATATTAAATTTACTATTAGTCATCAGTCGAATACGCATTTAACTATATAAAAAAATAAGTATATTTAAAAACATAAACCATAAACGAAACATTAAAAATTAATAAAACTTTATAATTGTTATAATTATATATGATTTATTATAGTAGGTTTTGATAGGGCTGAATTATGCAAAACATACTATTTTTTATATTTCTGCTTACAACTTGCAGAAATTTGAATTGAAATCTTTCAAATTTTATAAGGATGATATCATTTGCAGTTTTCACAAGCTCATCTGGAAATATTACTGGTCTTCAAATTTATCAAACTCTAAAACATTTTTAAAAAATGAAAAGTATTATTTATTTAGACAACCATTAAATTAAGTATTAAAAATCCATGATTAGATAATCAGGATTTTTTTTTTCTTATTGTATGTGTGTATATAGTATCCTGTGTATAGGCTAGGCCTTCTAAGAAAATATGTGTGATGGCATCCCTTACTTGATCACTCATATTTTGTTTTGACAACTTGACCACAGCTATATGCATATATATTTTTGATAACTTGACCACAGCTATATGCATGTTTTATCATTTTTAAAAATGAGCTGAAAAAACTAGAATAAATAGAAAATTGAAAATAAAAAAAACAAAAAAAAAAAAAATAAATCTTAACTAATCTTAAAAAATAAATAAAAGATAAACTTGAAAAAATAAAACTATAAAAATAACATATATTTTTCAAGCGTTTCACTTAACACTTTATAAAAGATTCAAAAGTTTCAAAGCTTATTATTATTAACTTATATTTTTTGAAATTTTATTACTTAATAACTACAAACCTTTGATATTTTCTACTTGTGTGTCTACGAAGTGAATAAAAAACTTTAAAAAATGTAAAAAATAAATAAATAAAAAGATTTGAACATGCACCCAACATTTATCTGATAGTTACACCTCAAATACTGAATGTCTTATCATTTAGAGTGTTACACTAACATAGTAAACAAATAAAAGATAGTTTTATTTAAATTTTTTTTGTGTACAAATATTATTTCTACGGTAAAGTTGTTATTTGTGTGTGCATACAAATAATGAGTAATGAAGTTATTTTAACACTTTTTATATCTTATTTTTATTTTCTTATTCGTTAAGATCTTTTTTCAGTATGCAAATTATTTTTAATTTTATTTTAACTTCAATTCAGTTTGGTTTTTTTAGCGCATTGTTAAATTATGCAAATTATCAAAACTTGCAAAAAGTCTTAACTGAGTTATCAAAAATATTATATGCGTGGTCAGGCAAGGTGTGCAACCGCATGCATTTACTTAGAAGACCTATTAGGGTGTTTATAAAAAAAAAAGGATATACCGTCTAATGTCTGATATTTGGGCAGTAGAAAAAAGAAAATACCCATATATTATGGTTCGTCTAGTCAACAATTATGTTCAAAAAAAGTATTATTATTTTTTTTAAACTTGTTTGTTTATCAATAAAGTGGTTATTTGCATTATTTACTCAGAGACAAAAAAAACTATTAAAAAAATACACAAAAATGCTAATGATAAAAATGCTAATGATAAAAACGATGATTCAAAACAAGAAATCTCAGAGACAATTAATGATTTTAAAGTAGTTTGAACTGATCTATAGTTCTTTTGAGACCAGATAAAGAAAATGAAGATTTGAAAAGTTAAAATTTAAGCTTATTGAGATAAAAGATGATGCAGCTTACAGAGCTAGAATAAAAATGAATGACTTTCTGACAGATTATGAATATGACAAAAAAAAGCTCAGATAGCAATATTCAATAAGGTAAAAATTTAAACAGAAAAAAAAAATCAATTGTGAACTTTTATTACTTCATTGTCAAAAATGATTTTTATTTATAATCAAATAATTTTAATATTTTATTATAAACACTTTAATATTAATATAATAATATTTAATATACAATATATATAAAATATTTAATATAGTCATATTTAATAAATTACAAATTTATATGTAAATAATTTTATTAATTACTTTAAAAAAAAAGTAGACTGCTCGTAATCATAGAATTTACTGGTTGTGAGCATCAGCCAATCAGAAGTTCTCCTGATATTTCAGAATTATGATATATTGCTTTGGATTGTCTTACTTTAAAATAGAACTGGAGCATGGCAATAGAACTAATAAACTTATTACAATATAAATAGTTATAAAATTGTTATCAACTGTTTACCTGCTATAAGTGATACGAACAGTAACAATAGTATGCTGTTCAGTGTTTTTAATTGAACACTCGGCAATTCAGTTGCATAGTGTAAAGGCTAATCCTCCCTATTTTATGGATGTTATGCAGGCATCAAAAATAAAAGGTGCATATGCCTTACTTCATAGAAGGTCTCACAGAAAAAACAAGGAGTCACCATAGAGTATTGTGTATTTATTTAAAAAAAAGTGGATTAAAGTTAAAAAAAAGATTGTGCTAAAGTAAATACAGAAAATTTTGTAAAAATAAATCAGGATACCTAGAAGCTGATTGTTATAAAACCTTGCAAAAAATGCCTTTCTGTACTAAAGCTCTGTTCAAAATTACTTCTGCAACTAGCACTTGTAAAGAGACACATTTTATGGAACACTGTTCATAAAATGTGCCTCTTGACAAGTGGGAGTTGCACATTTTATTGAATATATATATATATATATATATATATATATATATATATATATATATATATATATATATATATATATATATATATATATATACAGGCTTGGTCTAGAAGCGGGAGCGATCGCTCTCGAATACTGACCACGGAAATTATATTTATTTGCGAAAAACTGTCCAGGTTTTTTAGTCGTTTTGAGAACGTTTATGTACGAAACAAAATATTTTTGTTTTACAGACATACATGGAAACATAAAAAAACTTGAATGTTCTCAAAACATCTTTGTGCGAAAGAATAAAAAGAATATTCGCGAACACTAAAAACCCGCCAAATTAACAAACAAACTAATTCTATTGGTTGAAAAAATATGCTGATTAAGCGAAATTAAGTTCTAGAGTATTCTCTTGAAATTTTTTAGAAATTTTATTATTCACGATTTGTTACGTTTTGAGATTTCTACCATTGTTTTTAGAATCTATATATTTGTTTACGAAAATAAATGCTTTAAATATATATTAATTAAATTGTTAAAATTTTAAAAGTTTATTTTAAATTATAGATTTTATTAGTTATATTCTTATTTTTTATTTTAAGAAAATGTATTCTTTATGTAAATGTAATTTTGTGTATTTATTTTTCATCGTAATGTATCTTTTAAAGTAATTTTTATGACTCAAACAAAGACTTACAAAAATAATTGCGTTTTCAATTAAGTTATAATCGTTAAAGTTAATAAAACTAATTATGTAATAAACATATATAAAAGTTTCTGGTTACTAAACACAAACAACGCATACAAAGTAACTCGCGGATGAACAAGCACCACGCCTGAGGTCACGACAGAACACAAATATATATAGCAAATAATTAGACATAAAGAGAAGTTTCTAGATATTGGTTTACTAACTCTAATTATTTTCGTTTAAGTTGCCATTCTTAAAACTCATTATACTTTTTTCTGTTTTAAATACTAATTAAAATTAAAAAGCCCACTCACTAAATATTATCAGCAGTATTGTGAAGCAGTTTCGCTTCCTTGTCATAAAGTATTTTTAACCTTTTTAGTTGATTTCTATCTTGATAATTTAATTTCTATAGTAATTCAATGACTTAATTATTTCATTTGTTTATCTAGCTAAGAAGAATCGCTTCAAATATTTTAAACTTTTCAAACTACGCAAGTACATAAAAAAGGTATTAAAAAAATTAACTTTTTTATTTATAAAATAATTTAGCTTAAATAAAACTAAAACTTGCAAACTTTGTTAAATAAAGAATATTTAATTCCCTTTTTAAACAATCGTAAGTTGTTACTTTATATAAAAAACAGCAATGTTTCGAAAATATTTGTTCTAAATGTAGTTTATTTTTTTCGCGTTTAAAGATATTTTATATGCCTAATTTTTTTTTTTTTTTTTTTTTTGTAATTGTCTCTCATCGGTCCAAATAATCTTCGTCACATTTTTTTTTGCTTTTTAAAATGTTCTCAAAACGACTAAAAAATCTGGCCAGCTTTTCGCAACTAAATATTATTTACGTGGTCACCAATCGAGAGCGATCGCTCCAGCTTCCCTTCCCAGCCTCTATATATATATATATATATATATATATATATATATATATATATATATATATATATATATATATATATATATATATATATATATATATATATATATATATATATATATATATATATATATATATATATATATATATATATATATATATATATATATATATATATATATATATATATATATATATATATATATATATATATATATATATATATATATATATATATATATATATATATATATATATATTTATATATATATATATATATATATATATATATATATATATATATATATATATATATATATATATATTTATATATATATATATATATATATATATATGATATATATATATATATATATATATATATATATATATATATATATATATATATATATATATATATATATATATATATATATATATATATATATATATATATATATATATACAGTAGCGTCCAAAATTTTGCAGACAGGCTAAATAGAATTGAATTTTGCTAATATTTTAGCAATTACTTCACTAAATCCAACATATCATATACCAAATATAAGATTTTCATGTTTACTATTATGTTTTGAAAAAATAGTAATAGCTTATTTTACATACTTTAATTAATTTTAAAATCAATGATTTTTAAGGAGGTCAAAAATTTGCGGACAAAGCGTTTATATTTGAAAAAGTTGGAATTTTTAACAATATTTGACTGAAATTTATTAGAAATGCAAAATCACATTAACATTTTGAGGAAAATCTTTGTAGGACAATCTTACAATCATGAATAGATTTGCATCTACAAGGCATAAAGTCAACTAAATTAATGAAAACATTATTAGGGACTAATTGCAATATTTATTTGATTTTTTAATAATAATTAAATTTTAATTTTTTTATGAGCATAATTTGTAAGCTTGATGTTTAATGTTTGACGTTCAACATGTTGCCATAAATAATCAACAGCATCTTGTTTTAACTAAGCCGGTTAGGATATCAACTTCAGTTAGGATATCAACTTTAAAACACGAATTCTACTCTTTTTGAAGAACTTTTCAACCAATTTGTCTGTGTGTTTGGGATTTTTTTTCTGATGTTAAATCCATCAATGAGACATTTTAACCTTTGCATGAGGCAACTCAATTCTCTGACATATGCCTTTATATATTTCTTGATCAATTGTTCCAGTATATCAATTGAGCATATTAATTCAGGTCATACCAAAACCATTGCATTAGGCTTGGTCGGGAAGCAAGAGCGATTGCTCTTGAGTACTGACCACGAAAATAATATTTAGTTGTGAAAAACTGAGCAGATTTTATAGTCGTTTTTTGTTGCAAAAAGGATTAATTAGACAGATGAGAGACAATTACAAAAAAAAAACTAGGATAAGAAAATGACTTTTAATGCAAAAAAACTTAAAGCAAAATAAATTACGTTTAGAACAAATATTTTCAAAAAATTGCTTTTTTATAATTTTTTTATAAAGTTAAGCGACATCTTTTATATAAAGTAACATCTTGCGATTGCTTAATAAGGAAACAAATGTTCTTTTATTTATCAAAGAGTATAATATAATTTTAATTTATATACTTGCGTCTTATTTCCAGTGTTGGATTAAGGAGGGTTGGGGTTAGAGGGGGTATAGCCCTGGGCCCCAAAATAGTCAAGAAGACCTTTTTTTGTAATCATTTTTATGTTGTGACACATAAAAAAAGCCTCCAAAATAAAAATAGCCCCTGGCCCCGAAAAGTCCAATAAAGATTTTAAAAACTAAAATTTTTTTTTAATAACTTTATGCTTTTTTTCCAGACAAAAAAAAAGTAAGGGGAGGGACATTCCCCCTCAGAACTGAGAGTAGGCGCGCTCCCTCTTGTTTGTGAGGTGAGCAACCTGCCACGGCTGCTAAAAACAAAGAAATATTGCATAGTTTTAGGGGATTTTAATTTAATTTTAGCCGTTTTTAAAAATCTAAATACTGTTCAAATAAAATTTTTAATCAATTATTGTCAGAAAAATTATTTGATCGTCTACTTTTTAATTATTTCGAACTCTGCACTGTGGAAAATAGTACTACAAAAACCTACCAGAAATGTTTTTTGCTTAAATGTTAATTTCGCTGCAGAAATTATATACATATATATTTTAATAGTTTAATAGTTAATCTTCACTATAATGTAGAGATTTTAGTAAATTTTATGTAAAAAAATTTTATGTAGAAAGTTTTTGAAGCCCTACTGTTTCATACTTTTGTATATCTTCAATTGAAACTCATTTGCATCATCACTTAAAAAATTATTTTCTATAAAATCTTTAATGAATAAGTATAAAGTGTTATACATTTTTTAAAGAATCATGGAAATTTTAAAACAAATTCGTATTTTTATGGTTTTGTTTACAAATACTTAATTGAACTATAAATTGAGCTAGAAAATAAAAAATCTTAAAGTTCACCGATATTTTTTGTAGTCACCCACGCTTCATTTTTGTAATTGATTTGTAGCTTGGGAGTCTATAAAATTGATTTATTAAAAATCAGCTGCAGATACATGCGGTTTCTAAAATTATAGATAAAAAAGTGGTAAAAGCCAGAAAAAAAGAAAACCACTTTTTATCGTGGTTTCAGGCTATATCTATTTATAACAATAGTTTTGCATAAGTTATTTTGTTAGTTTTTTATTGAGAATTAATTTGGATGGACATGCACTTTGTTATTGGTATTATTATTGGTTATTGTAGATAAAATAAAAAGCCAAATAGACTCTTCACGGCCATCTATAATTAACAAATGTTGTAAAGGAATACTAGTGAAACATGAACTTTGTTTAACCATGATAGATGGAGAAGTGGCTCAGGTATTAATGGACACCCCTTCTGTGTCTACATGTACAATATGTAGAGCTACTACATGACAAATAAATGATTTGACTAAAGTGTCTGCTAGGCCCGAAAATGAAAGTTTTTCCAAACATGTTAAGCTAAAAGTGAAGAAAAAAATGACAAAAGAAAAAAAAAAGACCTTGGTACAGAAACATTTTCGTGAGCAGCTAGGCTTAATTGTCAACAAATCGAAACAAGTATATGGTAATATCAGTGATGGTAATACTACTAGGAGATTTTTTTATAATGTAAGCTGCTCTTCTAAAATCACTGGAGTAAATAAAAATTTGATTAAGCGACTTTACATAATTCTACAAGCTCTCTCCTCAGGTGTTATGATAAATACTGAAAACTTTAAAACATATGCTACAGGAACTGCCCACATTTATGTAAGTAATTATACCTGGTACTATATGCAGTCTTCAGTATACAAAATTTTACTTCACAGAGAAAATATCATAAAATACTTTACAGTACAGAATATTGGTCGACTTTCAGAAGATGCACAAAAATCCCTT